TGAGAGGTAGAATGAGGGTGGACGTCTCTGGTTAGTCTTCTGTAAAAGTGAAATAGTAATCCACTGAGAAGAAAGGTTTTTAAGGATTCCCTTCCACTTTTTCCTCACAGGATTGACCACTTGTTTGGGAAATATAGGAAAGAAAAGAAGGAGGGGGTAGATTCCTGCTCTGAAGATATCCCGGTGGATGGAGAACAAAGTCTGTGGTAATATTCCAAATTCTTAATGCCTGTCGCAGGAAATATTAATGGTGCTGTAGTATTAGAAATTTGGGGCTATCTCAAGATACGGGGCATCTCCCTGGATTAGGCCCAGGATGGGAGCAGGAATTCCGTGAAAATGAAAATTGCTAATGCTCTCTGAAATCTATTCCCCACGCCCAGCGTCTATACCGATTACAAGAAAAAAGAAGTTGGTCGCGGTTTCAAAGCGTTGCTGAGGCAATCCCCCAGCACCCTCATCTTGCGATAGCTTGTGATGGCGCCGAAATGAGAATAAAGGACTAGAAATAGTAATCACTAGCAATAAATAATCACAAAATAAAAAGTACAAGCGGGGTATTATCCATTGTACCAAGTTACGGGGCCAGTCGAGCACCTGCAAGGGTTCATTTTCTCCCAGCCAAGTCCTATACCACTGAAAAGATCTTGGAGGCTTGCAAGGCTTGGTTGGCTCAACCGTTTACGATCTGTAATTTGATCCAAGACCATGCGCGTGGCGCCACTTGCCGCTACGTCCTTCCGCTCTAAACCACTATTTATGGGAATAATACTTGTTGCTTATGACAGTTACATACATTTTGTATATATTTTCTCTATATTTCTTTTTGTCCCATACATTTTTTCTTCCCACCGAAGGGTACATTTCAGAGTCATTATCGAGCCTTCCTCTTCAAGTGGCTGTGCATTTGAACATATGTCTTGCACCATTCCTCTTCATTGCCGAAATTTGCTGCTTAATATTGAAGGTACGAATTCCTTACTGTTTAGGAAAAAATAAATTAAAGTCTTTCATTACAGTACTCATATCTGTCAGTAACCTATAAGGTCATATTGATCGCCGTGCTCCTTGTCTACGTGCTCGTTGAAGTTATTCGTCTTTTCCTGGCCGTAGTTGGGAATTTGGGCGAGAAGGTTAGGATTTATAGCCTGCTATTTTAAATAGGGATGTCAGCGTGAGAGTGCGTCCAGAAGTTTAACAAATGTAAAAAGAGGAAAAATATTAGATATACGTACATGCAAGGTAACGATAGTGCGAAATACAAGGAGGGAGCAATTGAAAAAAAAAAAAAAACATTTTGTCCTTGCATGCTTAACATCAGAAATATCAAGGCAGTGTTAATGCCTTACTGCACCACTCCTCAAGACAAGCTAAGCTTTGATCGAGTTTTGTCTAGGGCTAAGGATTTGGCTAGAACGTTGATTCCGAGGGTAAAGCTGTAGAACACGAATATTGCACCAGTTCAGCGAGAAAACGCCATGCTTCCAGGATTCGAGCCGGAACTAGAAAAGCGGCAAGCTACGCTCCTGTAAGGAACGCCAAATGTGATATTCCATGTTCTAATATCAGGAAAGGCATTCAACTCTCCATGGAACTTTGAAATACCGCAGATATATCCACAATAGAGTTTCAACCAAACGCTGAAATTACAAATCGGGAATACTGATAATGACAATGGTGTGGGGTGTTGTATTTACAGGTGAAATGTAGGATCGACAAATAACAAGAACTGACTGAGCAGTATATAGTAAAAGAGAGAAAGGCAACCACAGGAGCTCAGATGGGAGTTAACCCAATGACTGCAAAATGAACCTGCCAAGGAAGCTGTGAGCAGTCAAAGTTGGCTGGAAGTAAAGCATTACACTAGCCTCCAGGCTTTCAAAGTCGCCGTGGAGTAGTGGTAGTGCTCTCGGAATTTGCGCTCCGACGGGAGGAGAGCTTATGACCTCCAGGGTGAATAGCGAGGGCACCACCACTGCTCCGCGGCGACTCTGAAAGCCCGGGGCTAGTGTAATGCTTTACTTCCAGCCAACTTTGACTGCTCACAACTTCCTTGGCAGGTTCATTTTGCAGTTTTAGTTTCCATATTTGTAATCAGCGTTTGAAGCTCTATCGATATATCTGGGTCTCATCTCAAAGTTCCATGGGAAGTTGAATGCCTTTCCTGGTAAGTGTCTAACTACCTCTGACGACAAGTTTCCAGCAAACCCAACTCCTTGGGTCACCCTTTGGTGAACGCTAAACGAATGTGATATTCGTATTCTATGGGTCAAACTACCCCCAGACACAGCTTTCTAATAGCTTACGCGGCTAACGATAAATTTAAATACTCTCCACCCTAGTCGTGTTAGTTCGTAGTGACCACGTAATCCACAGCCATGGACAAATTTCGATAAAAATCCGCCTCAATTTTCAAGGACTGGGTCAACAAAGGGTAATACTGCCGAAAAATTTCGTAGTGGCCTTCTACCTTGACGACGTCAGAAAATTCTATGGTGCGCGCATCGAGCTGAACGGGAACGTTAGCGGATCGTACACCATCGACGACGTTTTCTGAAAAGAGGGTTTCTAAGGGGTTTGCATAGTCAGAGCTAATTTCTGTGAGAAACTATCCAACAGTGGATCGATTAGTAGCAAGTTCAGGCTGGAGCAATTACGGTAGGCCTCCTTGAGCTTGACGACGATGACAGATGACGTCATATTCTGAAGACGGTGAGGGCAGTGAAGGAGGGCCTGCGTCCACTTATAGAGGGACATTTGAGGAATATCTGCTGTAAGACTCCCTTCAACGACGGCTAAAAACTCGCTGAAATTAGGGCAAAATGTCTTCCAAGCCCCCTGTATGCATGAACTTTCAGATCCCTGCCATCTCTGGTTTCTGGACGCTGTCGATGGTATTACAGCTTCCGATCGTGCTGTTTCTTCTGCTCAATCCGGCAGTGGTGCCGGTACCCTTCGAAATTATCATGCTCAGTATTCATTTGCTGTTCCTGATCGTGGAAGTGAGTTCATTACCATCATGAATAGAGTATATGTTGCCCTCACGAGCGTGCTAAGGTAAGGTCATGAATGCGCGGATCCGAGCCAATTTTTTAAAGCACACGGTATTGTTATTTTGCTGAAAAATGGAAGTGGGGCTATGATTTGGTACGGTGGTGAAGAAGAGAAGAACAGGAATAAACTCTAGAAATTGAGGCTCTTTTTCCTAGGCTGTGGAGGGTTCTGGGAGACAGACAGTGACATAAGAGGTATGGGCCAGAGAAAGGAAAAATATTGGTGACGAGAGAGCATGAATATGAGTGAAGGTTCGGTGTAGGCTATGAAGCCAATTTGTGGAGCGGATCCCTGGCACTTGGTGAAATCCCGTATAAACCCCGTCCTATAGCTTTTGCATGGGGATTTCGTGACGCGAGGTAGTATACTTGCTAAACCCTCTACCCTTCTGAACCCTCTTCCTTTCACGAACTGACGTCATAGGCCTGTGTCCATGCTCATTGCCACCGATCCTTGTTTATCTCTCCGCTCCCGCGGGGCGACCCTCGGTATTTCTAATGCCTTTGTTTCTTAAGGACCTCACAGCCTGAGAAAAAAAGAGCGTTCATCTTTCTTGCGGTTTTCACTGGTTTCTTTCCATTTTCTTTTACTGGTCAGGCTCTTAGCCCCTCCAATTCCCTATTGTTCAATGCAAAATATCTATAACAGCCTGATCTCTAGTGGCGCCTATCTAATAAGTTGCTTGTATAAGTAAATGAATCATCAGAGGCAAAGGTTTGTGAACGCTCACGATTAGCTCTGATACTTGGAATCTATGGGCTACTTTGTAGTCCATATGGCTATAAAGGCTCGGCACAGTCTACTTGCCGGTGATATGCATACTCGCAATGCACTTAGTTGTACCTTACATAATCATCCTATTGGCCCGTCTTTATCATCCTGAGGGCCGCGACATCAAGAGTATGGCGAAAAGAGAATCAATGAAAAGATACACTCATCCGAGCGGGCAATATTGAAAGCTTCATTCTGGAAAATAAGGGACCTTAATTGGGCAGAGTTTCACAGTGCTGGTGCTGCGACTTAGCGCGCAGTGAATTTTTCATCAAGTGACTTCACAAAGATGATGGACAGTATAAGGGAAGACTTACCAATGCACACCCACTTTTTGGCCCAGTTTCGAGGTGTTTTGTCACTGAAATTGAAATCTTGGTCTTCAGTACAGTTCATTTCGACGCACGCCACGCCCACTGTGGGCGGGGCTCCGCTTAGCTGATGTGTGTTTTGTACTTCGTGAGACCTTGCCCACCCATCCCACACTTGACCCGGTCCCTCCAGGCGGATCCCGAGGAGCTAGGGAATTTCGTGACAGACATACAGAACGACAGACGACAGAACGACAGACGGAACGACAGACGACAGACGAAGCGCTTTATAGTAAGTAGGATCCTTAGGGAAGGGACTCTAGGAAGTATGAATATCATGTCAGGCGATGGGTTCGCCGCCATTGTGCTGGAATCACGGTTACTCATATGGGCATGGCCGAAACTGAAGTGGGATTATCCCCTGCCCTTATGAATCTTATGAAAGTTGAACTTGCTGCCATTTTCAAGACTGATATGTTCGTCTTGTATGCTTTAGGCAGTGATACTTTGTGATGAACACCATTAAAGCCACCTTTTCTGATCACATATCACTGTCAAAGCGGATGATCATTCAGTTCACCCTGTTCAACCTATGGGGCTGGTGCAACTACTGCGATGCTGCGGACACTGAAAAGGAAGCAAGAATGATTCACAAGAAAAGCGCTAGACTCTAAAGCCCAGTGCTAGTGAGCACGAGGTGCTTTCCAGGAAAACTGGAATGGGATATCAAAATGGATCATACCATGAAAGAAGGTACTCAGGAAGGAGAAGTCGGTGGCGCCCCAGAAGCTCAGCTGATTCCATGTCGGCGCAAAATTTGCGCTAGGGCAATGACGATTATGAGACTGTATCGAATAATATAGTTGCATCAAATACTTTGAGCCTCTGTCGTGACCCTTCTTGAAGGCGTTGAGCAGAACGACTTTTGCCAACACCGTGACGCTCGCTTACCCTCCTTGTGATATTGCTTGCTCCTTCAAAGGCAAGTGGCACGACCAAATGCATGTCGAAGAAGGGGCGAGTACTATGAAGGAAAATTAGGGCTCTAAAGAACCGAGAAGTATCATTTTCATTTACCGAAAGAGGGCCCAACCGTAGCGACACGACAATTGCTCCCTGCCCCCTGTGCACCCTCAGGTCTCTGCGATGGCCACTGTCGTCATCAAACGCTAGTCGCTTCGGCGGAGAGGCAGAGCAGAGCGTTTCCATTTATAACGTCGGTATACATGTGACTTGCCCAACGCAGAAATGAGGGGGGAAATCATGGGTTCGTTTGCGACTTTCGTACCGTTTCCCTTTGTTTTGTTTTAATGCTGCTCCTTCTAACACTTTGCAATGCGTCCAAAAGACCAATTCACCGTACTCCTTTCACCAACCTCTCCGAAATAGTCGTTACCATGAGAGAGGTATGTGGTCCTGCCACTGTTTAGATTGGGTCACCTTCGCACCTCGAAAAGCTATCAAGGTGGTAGCGCTAAGAAATTTGATCAAATCCCACCAAAACTATCAGGGTCCGCCCACCGTCCGATACCTTATCTGCGTCTCTGAGTTGATCCGCTGTGCTCTCTCCACTGGGACTTTTCTTACTCTCTCCGCGAATCACATTATCTCTCATCTCATGGACATCTCCGTAGAGTAAAAAGGCTCGTACTCCCTAGGTGGTGCACTATTTCCTTTCCTATTTCTCTACAGTCCATCTATCATCTATCTATTTGCAGTCCATCCCCCATCCTTAATTTCATATCTGAGTGAAATTATCAATTCATTCAATCTTGATCCTTGCTTTTAAGCAGCCCACTGCGACCACTTTGCTACCGCGCGCTCGGAGTTCACGTATTGCGTCCCAGGTTCAGGTCGTCGGCTGCAATGCTTTTCCCACAACCAGCCAGATTCTTTTGATTTTCAATACACCCTTGGCGCTATCGCAGAATACAAGGGACTAAGCCTAGGAGGGGGCAGGAACTGTGGGAAAACTGAAAATGGCTCACGCGCCTGGAGTCTCTTCTTCCCTGCCTAAGGCTGAGTCCCATTTTCACCCAAAGGAGATGTTTTACGCGGTTTCAAATGCATTGCCACCACAATGCGCCTTATCTTGCGATAGCGCCCATCCCTTTTATCACTCATGACATATTTTATATGTACATAAAGGTTTTTATGGTTTTTATTGTGTTCTAACATTTATATTCAGATCGTGACCAGCTTTCTCACTATGAAGGTGATGTCCGCACAACAAATCAAACTATTCAAAGCGATGATTGAAGAAAGTGAGAAATGAACGACAATTCCAGCCATCCACACTTCACTTCACTAACTTCATAATCAATTTAACTGTTCCATTTAATAATACTATGATAATTCGTTGAAAAAACGGGAATGAAACTGATTAAAACGACAAACGACACACTAGGAATGAATGTGGGTAAAAGGCAACAACAAAAAGGCGGCTAGATGATGATAATAAGTGATACTTGATGATGATGATCAGCAGATTCGCTATCAAACCGTGTTTGGAATGTGATAATCCTGAGCGCAACATACAGACTATCTACACTGCTCGTAGGAATAAGAGGAGAAGGAGGAGGAGGAGAGGAAGAGGATGCGGAGGCGGAAGATGAGGATGAAACAAACAAACATAAACAAACAAGAGACGAGGAACACTGTATGGAGGGAATAATCAAATAATCATTTCTGGCTGAGATATAAGTAGATCGCCATAAAGCCGTAATTATACTTATGCAATGTTATGATTGAATATGCTTACATATATAACTTAAAATATAACGCATGAATCTAATAACTATTAATAACTGACAACATCGAGTGAGACAAAGAAATCACAACCTAGAAACTACAAATACAGCAGAAAAAATATGTGTATCATCATCACATTTGGACTAAGTCCCCATCGCTGGAAAATCTCACTTACTTCACTGGCAAATTGATCAATATCGACAGGAATGCTAAGAAGGGAAAAAAAGATGAACAACACTGAAAAAATAATCTCGTCGTGATTTCATTGCAATCAAATATTCCACTGAAGGAGGAATCACTCAGGTATGTGTGCAGGTATACGGTAGCGCATACAGTAGCATAACCTCGGTTTTCATCCCATCATACACTTCTTTTTGAACAGCAGGGAGGCAATCGCATCCACTGATTTACGTTTTCTCTGCAAAGAAAAAATAAGTGAGATTTAGAGTGTGGCTCGGGTGGAAGGGTCCAGGTCAAAATGACAAATTCCCATCGAAGGGATGATAGGGGGGCCTAAGAAAGGACGAAAGAGTGGCTATTTTAGCGCACTACTAGATTCTTATCAACGATTATATATTTGTCAGAAAGGGAGTTGGGTAGGGTATATGATGGCAAACAAATCGTAATGGGCGTTGAGGTACGTGTCAGAAAGTTATGTGCCGCTAATCAGACCACCTGAGGCGCCACGCACCTACTCGTCCACCGATTCGTGAAAATATTTTGAAACGAATTATTTGTTTGTTTCAATACGCTCAAAGGTGTGCACAGTCCTGGGAGGAATACCACGCAGAAAAGCAATGGAATGATAAAGGCTCGTTTGGCCTATTTAATGATCAAAGAAAGGGACTTGATGCACAAACTGGTTTTCTTCGTTCTCTCAAACAATGGTACCAATTTACCCCAGAGCCATAGAGGGTTTAGGCTGTCCCTTCGGAAGTCGCTCGCAAATTACAGGCAGGTTGAATCATACGTATTGGGCTGGGAGCGTCCAAATCCCCGGTAGCAGAAAGGACTGCATCTGAACCTTCCCAGCCCCCCCCACCTCCCCCACCCCAATCACTAGATAGTGGTAAGCAGGAAGGCGGCCGAATCTTCTGAATTCTGACGCCCTTGACCTCGTAATTCTAGGGTTTGAAACCTAAGACATTATCACTCAAGCCAGTTTACTAATGCTCGTGAGATTGCTGAAAAGGCCCAAATAGGGCCAGCCACCTCCATAAAGAGCGCATGACAGCAAGGGTGAGTAAATCCCAAGACCGCGCCTCTAGATGTCCTATTTAGACCACTACTTCAACCTACTTCACTTTTGGACGGTTCAGCAGCATAGTCATTCAAAAGCTACTATATGACTTGGCTCACACGCCTCCCAATCAACAGAAATAGCCTCTCAACGCATATGGAGCTAGGAAATGAAGCCCTCAGGGGTGTCACTTATCTTACCGCAGCTTGAGGTCATTATCATTGGCACGAGACTGCTTTCCTTCGAACTGTTGGCAGGCGATGAATCAGTTTCTGTCACCTGGAACAAAGTGGGATCAGTTGAGAATTTTATTCATGGATATTTCGTTAAAATACAATTTTAGTATCTTTAATTTTTTGAGCATCGCTTTTGCGCTTAGTTTGCTTGGAATTCGTTTCCCCGCCCGGGCCGCCCAAATATATTTGGGACCCACTTAAATACCTACACGCATCATCATTCGGGATCAGGGACTGATTCAATAGAAGCAGTATAGTGCGTGACCTGCAGGCATTTCAACGCACTCACAAACAATTTTAAAGAAAAAATCGTGTCTCGAAATTTTATACCTGTATGCCATCGCATAGTTTGGGCGGAAGTGGTGTAGTGACAAGTGGCGCGCTCACCACGCGAGCGGTCCGGGGATCAAATCCTGGGTCGTGAGTCGCCCGGGCCAACCAAGCCTTCCATCCCTCCGGGGTCGGTTAATTGGTACCAGACTTGTCTGGGAGGATAAAAACACTGACTTGTACATCGGCTGGCCCCCGCAAGTCATTGTATAGGCCACATCGCATTCAAACGCCACTGCGAATGTACAAATGGAAGTAGAATGCGTGCCGCATCCCAAAAAGGGATTGATCAACGGCAAATGCTTTATCCTTTTTATTTTATATATTTCTGCTTTACGCCATCGTATCCCACCAACAATACTCGCCGAGGAGGGATCCGGCACCCGCTCATCACAAGGCAAGTGGATCCTTTCCGGTAATCGTGATGGGCGCCAGAGACGTAGGGGAACCCTATCGGGCCATTAGGGGGCCACCACCCCTACCTCCACTCAGGATGTCGTGAATCTTAGAGCGATTATGGGGGGCGTTTATTTGAATTACAACGTCAAAGACGCGTGCCACCGTCAGGGAGGATACCACGTAGGAAAGCCCGTGGGAATGATAAAGGCTCATTTGGCATTCCAATGCCCCAAAAGATGGGGACTCGATGCACAATTAGGTTTTTTTGGTTCTTGGGGCAGGCCAATGGGAACAATTTACCCTGAGCTATAGAGGTTCTAGCGCTACGATTGGCTGGGAAATCCAATTCAGGTAGCAGAAGGACTGCGCACTAAACCTTTAACCTAACCCAGAACCCGCCCCTACGTCTGCTCACCCACGTATGAGTGAGTAGTAGGTGCAGAGCGCTCGCATCTCTTGGAACTCGACCCTTTAAACTCTGGTGAATCGGTTTCGGAGCCTCGGTTCAAGCGTTTTCACAGCATGTATTATTTGACTCGTCAGAATTTATGAGAAATGGCCCAAATAGGTAGCCACTTTATGAATTATAAGTAGCGCATGACAGCAAAGCATGTGATGTAAGATTGGAAAACCACAGATCTAGAACTTTCTATTTTAGGCACGTACTTCAACCTACTTCCTTATGAGACGGTTCAGCGGCTTTTAGTCATTCAAAGCCTACTATATGATTTGCAGTTCGCGCACCTCCAATCAAGAAGTAGCTCTCTAAGCTATGGAGTAGAATGAAGCTCTATGGTGAACTACTCCCGCAGATGGACGGTGCTGTTTACATTGGCAATTGGAGGCGTCTCTTGCGAAACTGTGTGGCAGGCGTATGAGATCAGGATTCTGTTACTGAGAACAAAGTGGTGGGATCATTTTTATTCATTAAATACGTTCGTGAAATTTACAATTTTACTACTTTATATACTTGAACATACGCTTTACGGGCTTTGAGTTTTTTCCTGGCAATCCGTTTCCGCCGTAGGCAGCCATATATTTTGGAACCACTGTAAATCATATCATCTCATCGGGGGGTTACCCAGGAGGTCCCCGGCGGGGCCGGCGCGGCAAGAAGGCGAGTCAAGCCGGCCAGACGAGTGCGCGGGCGTATTATAGGGTGTGTGTGCGTGTCAGGTTGATAGGACGTGCCCACTGCACGTCCACATCGCACACCGAGGGAGCACGAACCAGGGTCAACCCTGCGTTGCGCAAAGAACAACGAGGGGGTCGTATTCAGCCGACCGAAAAGGGAGGGGGTCGTATCCACAAACGGGCTGCAAGACGGCTTGAAAAGTGCAGTGTCCGGGAGTGCACTTTCAGCCTCTAATGTTCTCCAGGAGCTCTGCACGCTGTCGGAGAGTCACACAGACATGAGCGCTCCATGGGAGCGATTAAAAAGCATTAGCCAGGAGCACTATAAGTCTCACCATCAGCTTATTGTCCTCAAGCGACGCTATACGGAGCGGTGCTTTTGCTCCGCGGCATAGATCAACACTGCACTAGACAATAGCCAAAAACTTTGTTACAGTGTAGTGCAACAAAACATGGTCTGTCTTCGATGATGAACATTCCTGAAATCCCGAGGAGAACAAAGTGTGGAGCAGTTCATGGGAAAGTGAAACAAGAGTGCCATATAACAGTACAATACACAGATAGGTGCACGGCGTATACCCAGCAGGCGTTTTCCATAAAAACGCCTCCTCTGTCAGCGGCCGTAAGCAGACAAACTTTCTGAAGAGAGTTTTGATGCTTTCAAATAAAATCTAAGCGAAACAAAGTGTAGCGAATTTGCTGAATTGAGTTCTAGAGACGCCGTAGGAAAATTGAGGCAGAAGAAGGAATTTCAGGGAAATTTCACAGTTTTGTTATGAAGTACTCTTCGAGTGGATTCCAACAATCTTTACCGCTTCTCATCACATTAATTTCAAAGGAAGTTATGGGCCTTTAAAGACTGCATAGTCGCGGTCCAGGAAAATGGCTTGAAAAAAATCAAGGTGGAATTGACGGAACAACGGGACTATTTTTTGAGCGAGTGATTATTTCAAGAAGTTTTAGCACTTATTCGAAAGCTCTAATCCTCTAGTTTCTAATTAGCCTTAGACATCTGCAAAATGTTGAGTATGAAGAAAGTTATTAACGTTTGAATGTCGAAAACTTCGCGCCTTCCCGAAAAATCGGACCCCAAACCACCCAAGAACGGAACAACGGGACTATTTTTTTGAAAAAATGATCGCTGGAAAATTTTCAGGTGCTTGTTCGAAAGCTCTAATCTTCTAG